ATTGTTTATTGTGACGTGGGCTACTTTGTAATTGCCCTCATTCTACTCATGCAAAGTATTGATTTTTGTTCTATAATGAAGGATTCCGTAAGTGACAATGTTTTTGATTACTCGTGACAAACCTCCTTAGAGTATTAATTAAAACGGCAGCAGATGTGCAGGTGTGGGAAATCATTAGAAAGAGGCCTCAGTCTGTGGACAAGTCCCTCTCCCAGCATGCAACGGCTCTGCATGGCAAATAGGACGCCTGAGAAGGAACACGCACCTCGCAAGTTCATCTTAAGAAGTACAAAAAAAACGCAAGCATGTACGCTACATGAATGTATTTATCTGGACGACTTCTTGGACGGTTTTTCGTCTCCTGATCGTTTTTCAAGCTGAAACTCTAGATTGGTACACGTGAATTGTTTTGCTTAAACAAGGTTGTCAGAATTTCGACAGAGCTGCGTTTCCAATGCCATTCGACTGGACGATTCCAACACAAACAATGGACGAACGTCAATACGACGGTTTCCTCCACTCTTCACGTTAATTGATATATCATGGAATGATCGATTTCTTACGCACCCATGTGCTAGCGTTTTTCTCAGGTGCACTGGGAGAGAGTGGTAGGAAAGGGGATCTGGTAGGTCAGCTCCTGCTTTCAATATTTGCTCTTATTAAACTGTGATTATCCTGCAGTGCCTGGCTTCTCTCAAAGTTGGAGAAAGAGAGAGCAGGCCAAGACAACACATTTTTTTTCCAGAAAGTAAAAACTTCCTGACAGCTCTGAAGGTTTACCAGGTCTTCTGAAATTATTGAATACCTCATGTCAGCTCATTTTGAGCTATATATATTGACATTTGCAGATGTAGAAACTGAAATCAGCTTGAAAAAAGGATGAGACATTTTAAGAAACTTTTTTTTTTCCGATTACATATTTCCCAATAGTCCCTTGTACTATGAGACTTCACAGGACTGATATGTAGTTAACTTTTAACATATGTACTTACATTTTTATGAGTTCTTGTGTATATTAAATATTGCTGATTTTTCACATTATAGCTGTTACTATATAGGTTTTAGCGCAACTGATGGCCAAAGTATCATTGGTCTACTACATTTGATAGCATGCATTTTCTCTGACATTTCTGACTTATTTCTCGCAATTTTGAGTTTATAAATCTCACAGTTCTGACTGTTTCTCACAATTCCAAGTTAATATCTCGCAATTCTCTTTTTTTTCACCACTTAATAAAAAATAAAAAAAGGTAATTGCGAATTTTTATCTTAGAATTATGATTTTTTTTCCTTGCAGTTGCGAGTTTGTTGCACAATTCTGAGTTCATATTTTACAATTCTGACTTTTCTTCTCAGAATTGAGAGTTCTTCAGCATTTGGAATGCCAAATTCCAAAATGTTGGAATTTTGAGATAAAAACTCCGTTTAACCGTTTAACTTGTTTATTTTTGTTCTGTAGTGGAAACTTCCATCATTTCTGTACAGTTATGAGCTATGAAAATGTCTTTGCACTCTAGAGTTGCGCATATTTCTTATATATATCTTTACAGGTAAAAATCAGTATACTTTGGGCATACTGTATTACTATATACAGTATATATTACTATATACAGTATTGGAATTACTGTATTAGTATTAACCAATCAGCATCCAGGATCTGTTTTCAGAAAAAAACTTCTACTTCTCAATCATCCAATAGTAAAACAGTTAAAATCATTGCCGCCAAAGCCACCTTGTCACATTGTGATCTCACAGAAGACCACACTATAATAATAGCGGATAAGAAACGCAACAAAACAGAGCTTTTCATTGTCCCTTGAGCTCACACAGGTTTTTCTCAGTTTCTGCAATCTTCAGATATCTGCCAGTACGCCTGTCTGATCGCAATGAATTGAACAGATGGTCCAGAACTAAATCCGCCTTTGGGTTTTACACTCTGTTTACCTTTAGCTGTTTACCTAAGCTGGTACTGTTTTGTCAAGAATACTTTGAGATCCGGCCCAGTGTTGAAACCTTGAAGTTTCTAAAGTGCTGGTGTAAGACTGACAATAAACCATGTGTTAAGAAAGTAACAGAGCAATGGCAGACAAGGGAGCATTTTAGAAACCTGTTTGGAAACAATCACTATTTCTACTGTTGCGTTTATCGCTGCCGTACTGTCGCAAGATTTTTTTTTTTTTTTACAGCCTACCTTGTCTCAAGTTTTTTTGCTTTTTGGAGCTTAATGAAAGACTTATTTTCTCCCATTTGATTTGTCTCCTCAAAGATATACTTCATATCTCAGAACAGCCTGGAGAAGCTGAAGCTCGTGTCGCTGAACACACACTGACACTTCCACAAACTCAGTTAATAGACTTTTGACACGTCAGAATGATGGACTCTTTGAATGCGCTGACCTCTCTCCTCCGGACGCCCCTTTCACCCTCCCTCTCTCCTTTCAGCCCTTCATCCCTCCATTTCCACCCATGTAGATGAGACAGAGATAGATGAAGATATTTCTGATGGGCAGCCATTTCATAGCAACACACCAAATGAGTTCTGGCTGCCCCGGCCCACCCTCCTTTGCAGGAGATTAATCCTGTCGCAGGATGCTTGCCGACCATGACAGTCGCGTGTGTTTAGTCATTTTGTTAGTTGTTTTATATTTTTTTATTAAGTTTTTAGATTAACTTTTTTTTTTCTTTTTTCGTAGTTTTAGTAATCTTAGTACTTCAGCATAATTTTATTTCAGTTCAAGGCAACATTTCTAATTTATTGTACATTTTTTCATGTAAAATTTATTTTTTATTTTCAGCTTTTTAATAGTTTTATTTTACTATATATACACTATAAAAATAAAATATATTATATTAGGGGTGCAACGGTTCACAGAATTCACGGTTCGGTTCGATACGACACGGTGTCATGGTTCGGTTCGGTACGTTCTGTACAGGGGTAATTGGTTACGTCGCAATGCTGGAAATATTTCTGTTTTAAACAATGAAGGCGAGCAAATGGATGTCACATACAAGCAACGTCTTAATCTCAGTCAATTCACTCAATTGATGTTTTTGACAATATCTCTGGCTATCGTCGATACAAGATCATCGTCTTTCGACGCACCCCAGCAAGAGGAGGTTATCGCGGGGCCTTTCGCAGTGCGTGTCCTGCGTGCCCGTCCGCTAATGTTACGCCACTGGGCAGACAGCACGCTGCCTGTTATGTCGTTTGGGCTGCCTTGTTGAGCGCAGTGGCACTGAGAACATTATATTTCACACACATATATATATATATATATATATATACACACACACACGCACACATAACATTTTTTATAATATATATAGTGCAGTAAAAATATTAAAAAGCTGAAGATAAATTTATATATATCATTCATTTCATTTAGTTTTATTTTTAATTTTCCGTTTTCTTTTTCATTTCAGTTTACCGTTTAGTCATTTTGTAAGGTGCTTTTGTCATTTTTATATTTTATATTTTTTATTAAGATTTTTGTAGTTTTTTTTTTTTGTTGTTTAGCTAGTTTTAGTAATCTTAGTCGTTCAGCATAAATGTATTTCAGTTCAAGGCAACATTTCTCATTTATTTAAAAATTTTTCTTGTAAAATGTATATTTTATTTTCTGCTTTTTAATAGTTTTATTTTACTATATATGCCATAAAAATGAGTGGCATACATATATATATATGTGTATGTGTGTGTGTGTGTGTGTGTGTACTTGTTTATGCTACATTGTGGGGACCAAATGTCCCCACAAGGATAGTAAAACCTGAAATTTTTGACAAGATAAAAAAAATATATAAAAAATAGTAAATGATGTTTATCTGAAAGTGTAACAATGCAAAAAGGTTTTCTGTAAGGAGTAGGTTTAGGGTTAGGGGATAGAAAATATCGTTAGGTCAGTATAAAAATAATAGAAGTCTATGGAAAGTCCCCACAATTCACAGAAACAAACGTGTGTGTGTGTGTGTGTG